TTTGCGTGAAAAAGATAAACATCTCAATCCAATAAACATTTTCATTTATAGCTGTTTAGAACTTTAGTTTGAAGGATGAGACAACAGCAGGCCAGTTATAGTTTAGTTATTTGAGCTGACTGCAATTCTTTTTCAGGCGAAAGCTTCCTGAATTATGCGTTGTGACAGAATGGAATAGAATGTGAACTGGGTGCGTTTTCATCCATGTAAAGAAAATAAAGCAGAAAACATCTGGAGAGACATAACATAGGTCTTACAAAAACAATGACTTGGTGCTATAAGCCTGATGGAATTTTAGCTGACGGTCAACAACCATATCCTTGTATCTCCAAGATGATAACTTTACAGGTAAAACGAAAAAAACCTACTTTACTTTTAATGTAAGTCAATGGAAACAGACTTTTCTGCAAGTCATTCTGGGCCATTTCTTGAGAAATTTACACACAATGTAAAGAGAAACAGGCATTTTCAAATTATGTCAAAAACTAAAAACCGTCAAAAATGGAGATACGGGGTTTTCTTCTAACAGCAGCGAAATAAATAATTGTAATTTAACAATTTAACAATTTAACTGTCTTTTTATGTTTACTGTATATATCCATTAAAGTACAAGCCTAACGTGGCCAAACTGGCTGATTAGCTGTCTTGTTTCCTGGCTGTTGGCACTGCCCTCTAAAGGTGGTATAGCACCAGTCAGGTGTTAGAAATTTCATTAATTTCATAAGATTGATGATGCGTCTCCATAAATGTGTTTTTTGCTTTCTTTTGTCTCCATTTTCCTCATCGCAATGGATGAATAGGTGCATTCACTTTCTGTTTGTTGTGGTGTAAATATATGATTATGAAAGCTAACAACTGCAGAAAATAATTGCAGTTACCTTGAAAAACTGTGATCAGCTCAAATAACTGAGATTAGGAGATTATGTAATAATTGGGTCAGGCCTTGGTGCTAAAACATCTTTAGAACGGTGAGTGATGTTTGTTTATTTCAGCTCGAGCTGCGTGTGTCATCTGCTGGGAGTTACTAAGTATCAGCAGCAAAGAAGCCATTTTAGGCTTGTACTTTTTATACAGGGAGATTCATTCGAAAGAGGCCCCGAATATTCTGTTGTAACTCCCGTTAGGATGAAGCAATCTGAACCAAAAAATGTGCTACATACATTGATGTATGTGTAATCAATTGCATTACATGCGATGCGAGAAGTGATCTCCGTTTTCTGCCAGACACATTTCGACACGGTGCTCCATGTTCCTGAATGTATTGGCAAGCATTACAGAGGTTAAACGTCGTGACGGCTGTCCGACGCCTACCTCACCGCTCTGATGCAGGGGCATCCCAGCTTGTTCGAAGCTCTGTATACTGAGGAGCACATTGCACGTTGTTTCGTTCAGATTGCTTCATCCTCGAGAGAGTTATTACAGAATATTTGGGGCCTCTTTCGAATGAATCTCCCTGTAGTTGCCTGAACAAAAAAAATGAACAAAAAAAGAAAATAATTGTTAATCACAATTATTTATACAGCAATTAATCATCACCTAAAACGTCAACATTGTGACAGGCCTAAGCAATAGTAAGCCCAAGAGAGGGATAAGAGAGAGAGAGTCCACATAGTGGACCTTACGGTACTGAACAGTGAACACTCATTAAACCCTTAAACTGCAGAATAATTACTCAGTTATTAATCTTAAGACATTTTACTTTACTCAGTAACTACACTCATAAAAAATATGGTTCTTCAGGAGTTCTTTAATTAAGACTTTGGTTCTATATAGAACTATGAATACTCAAAGAACCATTTTCTTGCTTAAACCTTTTCGAAAATGGTTCTATGTAGCACCAAAAAGGTTTGGCTATTGTTACAAGCTTGACATTGTAACAATAGCAGAACTTTGTTTGGTGCTGTATAGAACAATATACAACACGTTCTCCATTAATCAGAAGAACGATTTCACCATGCAAAGAACCGTTCAAGCATGCAAATGGTTCTTTGTGTGTTTATGGTTCTATATAAAGGGTTGTATTTACTAAACAATCCTTGAAGAATCATCTTTTTAAGAGTGTAATATACATTTCTGTTAATGAATATAAAACATTTGTGTACAGTACTGTGCAAAAGTTAAAGTCACTGATTTAATTTCCAGTCAAAATGGCCAGTAAGGACAAGTCATTTATTTTTTAAAGGAAATTACAAAAGACTCCAACACTAAGTACAAAATCACATCTATCAGTATTTATTTATTTGTCAGCTCTACTTTTATGCACCTGCTGCCACTTTAACTCTTCCATCCATCCATCCAATCTACAGCTGTGTCCTCCTAACAAGAGCTGTTACCAAAGGAGTCACTGACATTATGTTCCCCTTCAAACAGACACATTCACACAACTAACCCACATCAGCTTATTTCAAATTTTGTTCTCATGTGTATCTAAAGTGGCTAAAGGAGATATTTCTGAGGAGATTAGATATAAGATAAATCCACTTTTTTAAAGAGAGAGAAAGTCAAAGGAAAATGATTGAAAAACAGGAGTTTCCAAAACCCCAAAAAATGACTAAAAGCTACAGAGAAAATGAGGCTCCTAACAACCACCTGGAAGACCTGGTACACACCAAAACTGCCCCCATCAGATAAACAGCACTTAAAGCTTTCATCTTTGAGAGAGAGGAGAAAATCAAGCTGCCTCAGATCTGAAAACATCCACAGGTGTTTCTGTCCATCCTTCCACTGTGAGAAGACGACTCAGCGCTATGGGTCTGAAAGGATGTGTAGCTGTCGAGAAGCCACTACTGAGAATGACAATTTGCACTAGAACAATGAAACTGGGCGTTACATGTGAAGTAAGGCTTTACGGACTAAAGAGTCGCGAGACGCAATAAAAGCAATTAACATCTAAGACTGAAATTTGGAAGTGTGGAAAAAAGCAAAGAGTGAAGTAAATACTGACACATTTAATACCACATTTAGTTCTTGAGGGTTCTGTATGATCTTCTGTTAAATATGCTTTCTGCTATTTTCTGATGCTGAAAAATGAGCGCCTTGTACTTAATGACCATTTTGACTGGAAATTAAATAAATGAAGAGTGGTCTTTGACTTCTGGCCACAAGTCTACAGGGAAAGAGGTCAAATATATAATCAAGGAATAAAGAAAAACATTTTCTGAATTGTTTTGTAGCCGTCCTATAATTCAGAGCATAAAGAACTATAGTTCTGGAGATATTGATTAATCACAATTACAGACGCATGAACTGCATTTGTGTTTGACGTTAAGAACAGAATAATCCATTTCGGCCCATTGGGTATAATACAATAGCTCTGTTTGAAGAATCAGGCTTTCTAAAAGGTGTAATTTTTGAGAGTCAATTGGAATATACAGGGGGTTGACAGAATAATGGAAACACCAGGCAGTGCATGGATCTACTACTAATTAGACGTCAGGCACTCTTTTGTCCAACAGTCCTTCGTGGAATGTTGTTGTACACGTTTCCGAACATTTCTGGTGGGAAATTTCACCATCTGTCTAGAACAGACTCACTGCTATCTCTGAACAGCTTAGAGAAGGTAGAGTGGGTTCTTTTGGGCCTAAATGAAGATCCACCCAGATTTAGAAAACAAAAGAATGAAACACAACTCACCTACATTACTTTCTTCCACTGTTCTAAGGCTTTAGTTACACTCTTAAAATATGGTTCTTCAAGGGTTCTTTATTTAAGACAATGGTTCTGTATAAAACCATGAACACTCAAAGTTTCCTTTGCATGATTAAAGGGCTCTTTGCATCGATAAATGGTTCTTCAGATTGACTGTGAATGTGCTGTAAATGGTCCTATATAGAACCTTTTTGAAAAGGATTCTATATAGTACCAATAAGGGTTCTTCTACACACTTAAAATATGGTTCTTCAATAAAGAAAATGTTTCTATGTAGAACCATAAACACTCAAAGAACCCTTTGCATAATTAAAAGGCTCTTTGCCTCATGAAAGCGTTCTTCGGATTGATGGAAAATGTGCATGAATGTGATACAGACGGTTCTATGTAGAACCTTTTTGAAAAGCACAGCACCCAAAAGGGTTCTTCTATTGTTGCAAGCTTAACATTGTAACAATAGATGAACCCTTTTGGGTGCTATATAGAACCCTTTTCAAAAAGGTTCAATACAGAACCATCTTCAGCACATTCTCTATCAATCTGGAGAACTCTTTCATAATGCAAAGAGTATTCACGGTTCTATACAGAACCATTGTCTTTACTAAAGAACCCCTTGAAGAACCATCTTTTTTCAGCATGTATTTTTATGATGTCAAGCTTGTAACAATAGACGAACCCTTTTGGGTGCTATATAGAACCCTTTTCCAAGAGGTTTTATATAGAACCATATAAAAAACACGATTAAAGGGTTCTTTGAGTCTTCATTCGTATGTGCTCATTAGCCTATTGTATCTGGTTTTGGACTGTTTTGTTTCTTCCTCTATAACCGATCAACCAGCGGCTTGACCAATTAACTATTAATCAACAATTATTTTGTCTCTCTCTTTATTTTAGAAGGCTGGTCTTTTTTCTGATCTTTAGTCTCTTTATATGGTGGTCCCACTACTTGTCTGCCCTCTATATCAGTGGTCACCAGCCCTGGTACTGGAGAGTCTAGTTCCAACCACAACCTGCCACACCTGTTCCAGCTATTTAACTTTTTCAGAAGTCATTGATTGGCTGATCAGATGCAGTACCAATGAAGGTTGGCTGTTAGATACAGATTAGAGTTAAACTCTGCTGGAAAGTAGATCTCCAGGTGGACAGATGGTGACCACTGCTCTATATTATGACTTTGACCAAAATAATATTAATTTATAGTTACCTGATTAGCTTGGTATTTTACTTTAAGTACCAAGCTAAATAATGGAACTTTAAATCATATCTTTGACTGAAACTTACTTGTTGCTCATCTGGAGACCTTTATACATAATGCATGCCTGAATTTCGACATTTCTGGTGACACTGCTCACCTGCTTGTTCATGAAGATGTAGATGACCGGGTTGATGACGGTGCTGGACTTGGCGAGCAGAGAGGGCACAATGCTGGCCTCCGGAGTGACCAGGCCGGGCTGGCCGAACGTGGCCACCAGGGCCATGATGCCGTAGGGCAACCAGCACAGCAGGTAACACACCACCATGGTGACCACCAAAAAGAGCACGCGCTGCTCCCGCTTACGACTCACCACTGTGTTGATCCTGCTCACCTTCATTAGAAAAGCAGAAGAAAAACACAATCAGGAAAACAGCATGGATGGTTTGATGGTTTCTAACAGTGTAATGTAGATTTATGTGCAGCTATAAAAGTATAAACCGTCCAGCTGCTAACTGTGCTTCTGTCTGAAAGTCAAAGATAGTGGAGCCTTTTATATGTAACTGAACAACCAAGGCAACAGCCTCAAAGACAGAGATTCACTTGATTTTGTATTCTGTCCCCAGTCAGTGCCTGATAGCAATGGCTACAGCCACAAATCAATTATTTTCGACCAGACAACAGTCAAAAAAATAAAAAAAGGGACTGAACAGGCTTTCAGATAAAGCGCAAATGAAAAAAAACCCCTCTTTCTGAACAAACTCCAGCCTTCTGGCAGTCACTTTGGGCCTCTAGTTCATTGGTCTATTGACAGCAATAAACTACTATCGAAGACCAAATGGCCCTTTATGGGCATTGGCTTCAGTCAGCTTTACAGGCCCTGTTCTAGTATCCCTAGTGCCATATGGTTGGTCTCAACTCTACATCTCTGGCTCTGACCTGAGCTGACTGCAGTGGTAGTGCTTCACTTCACTGGTTTTAAGTTGGAAAGGAATAAGGCATGATAAGCATAAGACACTGCCGCCACAAAGTCTCACCTTCACGGCTCCATTATAAGTGTCAAATCCCACCCTTCTCTTTTTTTGTCTGTTATGAGCACGTGTACAGCACTCAGTGTTAGAGAGGATGTGGTGGTGTAGCAAATGCAGCACCATAATGGCTGGAAGTATTAAGAAAAGTATGAAAATAACAAGGTAGATTCATATATGTGAAGTGAGTGGTTGATGTTAAATGCTAAATTAAGTGAACATGTAATCAAACCTGATGTTACTGACCACACAGCAACTCTTCAGTCATGTCAGATACACACAGTCCTGAATAGGCATAAGCCAATATTAAAAAATGTATCACAATAATAGCATAACTTTTAATCACAGTTTATGACAGGGGTATTTAATTAAAGTTCAATAAGGTCCAGTCAGAGAAAATTCTTCAAGCAAGGGTCCAGAACATCATAATGTCTAACTTGCATCATGATTCAGTGCCATATACTGCTTGAAGTAGCCTAGTAGGTATATCAACATCTTATACAGTCAACAACTGAATGTCAAATCAAATAAAGTGCAATTCAGTCATATTTCAACAACACTTATTGTCAGTTTTCTCTTTTTAGATCACGTCATGTGAAATAACTTCCCTCTGACTCACTTTCTTCTCCGACTGCTGTTTCTCGCCTCGTCCCTCCCCTGTGTGTGCATCACTCACTAGAGTCTCAGTGCTCATCGTAATGCACAGATCTCATTGGCTGAGTAGCGTCACATGTGATATTTACAATGCATGCGAGTGGTCTGTGAGTTTCTTGGGCCATTAAGGCCACACCGTAATGACTAGAAAAGTTATGTCGATTAAAATAGGACCACCCCGTTGAAATTAAATAATTCTCCAGTTTATAGGTTATAGGTCCAGGTCCGCATAGGACAGTGTCTGGGTCCGGACTTGGACCGCAGCCCGCCTATTAGAAACCTCTGGTTTATGATATTATAATTTGTCCTATGTTTTACTGTCGTAAAGACATGTTCTGAATGTCATTTTTAAAATAGCAGCATACAGACATATGCAAAAGTTAACACTCCTGGTCAAATTGCATGTTTTGTTGATTGTATGTTCCAATTTTACACTGAATCATATTACATCATAAATATTTCAACTGAAAACCTAACTCTGAATATTACTGAATTCACCTGTTAGCCAATTAGCAATCTGCCAAGCTGCTTGTTAAACAAAACCTGTTCAAGTTTATTATAGTTTTCATGCATTTTACTCTACACACACAAAGTTTGTGACTGCAAACACAAACGTATTCATGACACTGAGCATTCTTTCCTTCTCCATGCTGAGTTTATCATTTTCAGAGAGAAAAAGTTCTTCGCCTGCTCCTCCTTCTGCCGTGCTGCGGCTGTTGCGATTGCTGTCAAGCTCCGCTCAGAGGAGGGAGTGTATCACATGATCAGAGTGTGAGAGTGCAGTGGGAGCTTGTGTGATAGCAGAGCTGCTCTCCAGCTCTAAAAATCTCTGATGAAACTGCAGCTCGTTTGACTAAATTCCAGTGATGGCGTCCACTTAATATCACGGTATACTGAACTACCAAATGCTGGCATGTCTCATCCTAAAGCATGCTCAATACAGCAAAATGGAAATAGGCATGCACAAGTTGTCAGTGTTTAAAAATAAGCATTTTAATGCATGAAAAATGAGTGTTTTTTTAGTTTTTAAACATCTCCTCGCTTTTCCAAAAGTCGCCGCGTCCTAAAGCACTGAACCTACAAAGAAAACTTTGTTTGACCTGGCCAACACCAGCTAACCAGCACACACATATATTTCCAAGACACCAGTCCTCTTCTATAGATTGGAAAATTAGAAGCAATTACTCATGTATAATAACCTTTGCACACACACAAAGAGGCAAGGGGGTGAGAATACGCAGAAACTGAAACGCTGCATCTGGTTTGCCTGAATGGGTTTGTTAGCAGAATGCCTCTGAGCGTTTCTATATTGCTAATTGAGTTGTGGTAGAAGATTCAGGGACATTAAAGCCAGCACGACTAGACATGTTAATTGTTTCTTGCTCAGAGCTACGGCCCTCATTAACAGCAGCGAACACCTTGCACTTTAAAAGTTTTAAAAGTTTAGAAAATCCATACTCTTGACAGAAAAGTTTCAATGAGGTGATAATAATCAATATGAAATTACTAACATTTTTGAGGATTCAATTCTCAGCTTCCTTAAAGTATTATTTATTTTTAAAGTTTTCCTTTAGTTTAAAGAATGGTTCAGTGAAAAAAATCAGACATACATAATTTTCTGCTTAACCTAATTGTAGTAAATCAGCCAAAACATGTTTGGTATCTAAATTTTGCTTCCTTAGTTTAGCGATGGACCTGTGGGACCAACACTGCTAATATACACTAGTCAATAGTCACCCAAAGCTTTTCCATAAATATATCCTTCTCTCAACATGATCAAACCACATCCAGCTCTTCCTTAAGGTCAAAGAGATTCTTGATGTGGTTTAGGACACAGTATGACTTACTGCAACCTATAAAAAGGAACAAAACTTCACTGTGTAGCTTAATGCAGCAGGCAGCCATTTTAGACAACAAGCGTATAACGCTGTCCTTTACATATGGATGTACACTGTAAAAAATGATTCAATCTTTTAACCCCTCAAAATCCCAGGTTTATTACATACTAACGCTTATTGTTGAGTAACTACATAGACTTCAATGAAAATTAGTTGAGTTATTCTCAGGTTGTAGAAGTGTGCAGTAAAGCTTTGGGCCCACTGGTGGGCCCTGGCCATTTAGGGGTTAATTTAAAGTTAGTAACCTAATTACCTCAAATTTTGAGTTTACTAAACTCCAAATAAGTTAACAGAATGTAAAACACAGATTTTTGTTCTGTTGACTCAGAAGTTCGGTGAACTCAATATTTTAAGGCAACCACATTACTTTTGCTGTTAAAACATCTAATTATTTTAACAGTGTAGGTCAGAGGTCACTAATAAGCGGACTGCAGTCCGAGTCCGGACCCAGACGCTGTCCTATGCAGACCTGGACTCAGCCAATCAGATCTGTGCATTACGATGAGCACTGAGACTCGAGTGAGTGATGCACACACAGCAGAGGGACGAGGCGAGAAACAGCAGTCGGAGAAGAAAGTGAGCCAGAGGGAAGTTTTTTTTCATGTCGTGCTCTAAAAAGAGAAAACTGACAATAAATGTTGTTGAAATATTACTGAATTGTACTTTATTTGATTCGACATTCAGTCGTTCTCTGCATAAAGATGTTGATATAACTACTGGGCTACTTCAGTAAACAGTATATGGCACTGAATCATGATGCAAGTTAGACATTATGATGTTCCGGACCTTTGTTTGAGGAAATTCTCTAACTGGACCTTATTGAATTTTAATTAAACCCCTGGTGTAGATTATGTTCACGATTTCTGATGTTTCTATTTATAAAGCATATATCTTCATATTCAAGATTACGATTATTTGTAAATACAAACAACAGAAATCTCAAATATAAATTGCGGTGTTCATATGATGTCGTGCACACAAAGGGGAGTCAGAATTCAGTGCACATATCATGACATCAACAAGTCTGTGCAACCTAAATGAAGACATGTATGCGGTTTGAGCAGGTTGAGAGAAGTTTTGGGGATGTATTTACACAAGCAGTTTGGGTGACTGTTGACTTCTAGTGTTTGTTGGCAAAGTTAGCCTTAAAAAAAAAAGCAAAAAAAAGAAGCAAAATTAAGATACCAAACGTGTTTTGGCTGATGGACTACATCTAGCGTGAACAGAAAACCTTTAATATGTTCTATTTTCTATTGAATATGTGTAAACCTCTGTATATTATCTAGTCTGCTTAGTATGCTGTGTATTATACATGTGTGCACTCATCAAGGCAAATACCTTGTAGGTGTGACGTAATTAGTGAAATAAAATTGTGATTCTAATCTTTGTTTCTAGCTCAGATATGATTAATTCTCCAAGACCACATGTGTTATTTAACATGCTTGCAGATTCTTGTTTTTTCATTGTAATCCTGGAGCTCAAAGCTGTTATTTAACAATTTGAGATCCCAGTGTTGATTGATGGACGTGGCATTAATTGGCACCCTGTTGATTTGAACCACACTTGGTATTTCTCCCCTTCCTTGAGTTAAATCTAAAAATGAAGCACCCTGAGGCACAGGAGGACACAAAGCGGGGGTGCACACAGTGAATCACGCAGCCAGAGAGGCACGAAACAGCCCTGGGATGAGTAGTCCTTGAAGTGAACATGACCAGATGCTGCTGGAGGTGGCACAGCTGTGGCCGCACTTTCAATTAAGGGTGAGGGTTCATGGGGAGGCAGGTTAAAACTTGCGTTTGAGCTGGGCAAAGGAC